CACATTTCAAAAATAGTTGGAAAATACTAGACGTTGTTGAGTAATGAGTTTAGGTGAAATATTTAGGCTGGTATTTCATGGTAGTGTTTTCGGTCTCACACATTTTTTGCTGTACAGTGATCGCCCACAAAATCAATTCTTAACTATTTAAATTATAAATGTAGAAAAGTATAACAGTAATCATTAAATACAAAAAATGTTTTTTACAGGCATGTAAAATAAAAATTAAAACACATGCTTGTGCACAAATAAAATATATATCTTAAAAACGTCAATTTAATGTACTAAACCTGTTAAAACGTCCCGTTAAGGATTATCATAAATATACACTTAGGTTTTTATATTAGGATATTGAAAATCAGAATGTAAAATTTTGAATGTATAAACCTTAAACTTTGAAAATAACCTGACTCCATTGAGAGGTTGCTTTGCATTCGAAGATGATATGGGTGGTTGTTTCTTACTCCTCATGTAAAATCTGTACATAGCGCCATCGATGAATATGCTTATGAATATGAAGATTTTCTCTGGGATGCCAGTTACTGGTAAATAGGCCTTCTGACTTTAACCCTCTCTAATTATAGCATTGAGTGTGTCAGGCTTGGTGAAGGTTATTTTATCTTAACCTTACTGTGTCTAGCACACTATCTCTCCTCCTTTTGTCTTTACTGGATCCAGTCTGATATGGAGGATTCTGTATTTGTTTTCTTTATCCCTGGAATAGGCTTAATGTATGGTCTTGCAGATTCTCCTGAGGGATTTGTTACCCACAAATTCACTCGTGTCCTGGTACCCGTAAAATCATCAAGCTGTTGTGTTTCCCAGGTTTTGGCATTCTTTTGCCAAATTAATTATTAATTAATTTTGATGTTTTGATATGATTCTTTTTGGCTATACTGGTTGTGTTTTTTTTGCCAGTGTAACCTGTATTATTTTAGCTTGAAAGACTAAGTTTGCTCACGTTTTAAATGTAAAATGGATTCAATTATCATTATCAATGGAAAAAGTGTCTCAACAAAACCGTAAAAACAATGGTTGAGTTTTAAGCCAACTGTAATAAACAGTAAAATTACATCTCATCCTTACATAAAAAGAATAGTTAATTGAAAGAAGTAACTTGGTCAATTAGTCCACTAAAACATAAATGGATTAATATTTAATAAGAAAAATTAGTTTTTTCTTTTTTAAGAGGGTTCGCAACAGCAGAGGTTATATTGAACCTCGGGGGGCCGGTGTTTTTGAAAAAAAGCCCATGCAGGGCCGCTGGATTCGAACCCGGGACCTAAACCTTAGAGTGATGAGCACCGTGTCAACGCATAAACCGTTGTAGCCACCGAAGCCCCATAAAATTACAGTTCAAAAATTACAATAGATGTTTTTTAAAAATTTCTTTTTAATTAAACTATATTTTCTTTTATGTGTATTTATTTTATGTGTACATAAAGCATAAAAAAATGCGAACAGTTAATATAACTATTTAAGTTTAAGAATATTGCTTTTTTTAGGGTCAAATTTTTCTATTTATATTTAAATATATTTATTCATGTATTAATATGTTTTCAATACAGTGGTTTATGTGATGTATACCCTACAAAATATGGGAAAAATATCATATTGAAAAAAATCAATCGAGAAGTATATAAGTTACGGAAAGTTTCTTATGTTTTTAATTTCCGTTATCTTAGAAATGTTTTTTCAACGTCGAAGGTTTAATTCCGCCTGGGAAATTCACGTTAAACTTACAAACATTGTCATCGGTTAGACATCGGTGCACCTGGAATCATGCTGAAAACGAAGACAAAACTCACGGTAACGGTTTGTTTACACGAAACAAATCGATTCAGAGGGAATGCTACTGAGATGAATTCCTAAGTAAATACACGACAGTCGCGTTGAATATGGAATTGCGTCGATACAGTGCGCATAGTGGATTTGTACGTTGTTCTATTTCATAAAGTGGCAACAGTTTTATAACTACATTGGTAGTTTTGCAAATAATCCGTGTTGTGGTCACAAAACATCTTAAAACATCCCTGACTTTCTAACCAATGTAATTGAATGTGTGTTTCTTAGTGATCTGTTGTTTCTTAATTCGTTGAAGTCGTGAGGAGTGGTCAAGAATGAAGTACTTAAGAAAAACACCTTTTTTGGCCGAAGTTTGATCTTTATTCTCGCCATCTTCAGGACCTGGGTAAATTAAAATACATGTTGATTGGAAAAAATACAATACATATGTGAACATAACTTTTGAACCACGTATTTCTTATTCGTATAAAGTGTGGTTCTATTCTTGCGGTGTCATATTGGTTCTGTGTGAGTGCTGTGAAACTTGAATTTGTACTCTGCCGGTTTTATACGATTGTGTCAGCGTGGGGGGCGCGGTAAATCTGGGAAATTTTCTTCATCTTCATAGGCGGCTTTATTTAACTCAAAGGAAGTCGAGAATGGGGATTTTCTGGATTGGATTTGTGATCCGACATTCAATATTGTATAGTAAATTCACTAGTTTTCGTGGTCCGCTTGACCAATTAATATCATTCAATTAATTAAGGTTTTTAGTTGAGATAAAAAAGTCAGTGTCACGAGCGGGATTCGAACCCACGATCTTCGGCTCAATACGCCGCTGCTCTACCACTTGAGCTATCGTGACTTCGATCCACACTCTATAGCTCGCGATAGCTCAAGTGGTAGACTAGCAGCGTATCAAGCCGAAGGTCGTGGGTTCGAATCCCGCTCGTGACACTGACTTTTTTATCTCGACTAAAAACCTTAATTAATTGAATTGTTTAGTAAGTTAATTAAGAACGTTAACGAAAGAAGGGGAAATATAAAATTTAGGTTTAATAGTTTATTTGCTTTATGATGTTGGCTAACTTCCGCTGAGTTTACATGTATGTGTTCGGTAATAATGCTGTGTGTCTCTGTTAATGTAAACCGTTTCTAAAAAGTGCCTTTATATTTTTTCCGAGGTTAGTATTTGCATTTTGTAGAAAACAAAGTTGTTTTGTTTTTCAAAGTGGTGTGTGTAGCCAATGCTGTGGGATTGGTTTTTGGTGTTTTACAGGCATAGATGTGTTGTTTTTTCCGTGTTTCGGGATACTGCAATGTAATTCCATATGTGCTGGACAGTTACAATACGATACAATTAATTTAAATTACATTGGATTTGTAGGCTGTTGGTATCCCGTCTTTGACTTTGGAAAAAAAATGTACCTACTGTTTTATGGTTTTTGAAAGCTATTTTAATATGTTCTGAGGAGAGAAATTTACTTAATTTGCGTGATACTGTGTGGACAAATGGAGTTTCTCTTTGAATGATTGGATTGATGTTGTGTTGTGTCCTGTGGAGGCTGTTGTTTTGTGAAATGCTGGGTTGTTTACGATTCTATAGATTATGTTTTTATGGTATTTGTGGCTTTGTAAGATTTGTTTTATGTTTGAATATTTTTTAGGAGATAGGATTCATGACTTAGAGATATGAATCTGTGTAATAATCCTTTAGCTGTGTTTAATATTGTGTGTAGGGGGTGGTGTGATGTATAATTAAGGTAGCGATCAGTGTTCATTGGCTTTTGGCACCACACAATAACCAATTAACAACAACCCTGTACCACCAGCCTACAAATCCGATGAAATTTATAAAATTGCACAACTTTCTAGCAACATACATTGGAATTACATACATTATCTAGAAAAACGGAAAAAATTACACAACTGTGACTGTAAAACACCAAAAAACCAATACCACAGCATTGGCCACACACCATTTTGAAAAATAACATAACGTGTGCGGTGATTAGTGACCGTTAGTCGATGATTATTCATAAATCGTGAGTTGCGGTCTGGTGTGATGTAGGTTTCAGAAAAACATTTTCTTTATCGTGCCAACGTTTCGATCTTTATTGAGATCATCTTCAGGAACTGGGATTTACAAACATTGTTTAAATTTAATAACTACTGTAAATCCCAGGCCCTGAAAATCATCTCAATAAAGATCGAAACGTTGACACGATAAAGAAAATGTTTTTCTGAAACCTACATCACACCATACCGCATCTCACGATTTCTAAATGATCAAATAACATAACTTTGATTTCGACAAAATGCAAATACTAAACACGGAAAAAATATAAAAGCGACTTTCTAGAAATGGTTTAGATTAACAGATACACAGCGCATTAATTACAGAACACATACATGCAAACTCAGCGGTAACTAGCCAACATCATAAAGCAAATAAACTATTAAACATAAATTTTATATTTTCCCTTCTTTCGTTAACGTTCTTATTCTTATAATTAACTTACTACAGAATGAAGAAACGCAAATTCAATCCAGAAAATCCCCATTCTCGACTTTCTTTGAGTTAAATAAAACCGCCTATGATCAAAGAAAATTTCCCAGATTTACCGCGTCCCCCACGCTGACACAATCATATAAAACCGGCAGAGTACAAATTCACGTTTCACAACACTCACGCAAAACCAATGTGACATCACAAGAATAGCACCACACTTTATGTTAGTATGTAATACTTGGTTCAAAAGTTATATTCACCATCTGTATTGTATATTGTTCAATCAACACATGTTGTGTAATTTTCCCAGATGACGTTTGAAGATGACGAGAACAAAGATCGAAACTTCTGCCAAAAAAATAAAAAGTTGTTCTTCTAAAATACCTCATTCTTGATGGCTTCTCACGACTTCAAAAATTATTGTATTTATTCTTTCTAGTATATAGTATTAAATTATAATCCTATTGAAGGTTTAAGTAAAAAAGTGTAATATTTAAAGCATTTGTTTGCCATTGTAAGAACTTTGAGGAACTCTGCTTCGAACAGACTAAAGTGGTTAGAAGTTTTAAAATATTTATTAAAATAGATTCTTTCAAAATTGCTCGATTGTTCTATTATATATTAAAACAATAGTGTTATAAAACATTAATCGAAAAAAATAACAGCCCAAGTTAAATTTATTTAAGTGATCGTCAACACTTACCTATGTTTCTTTTCGTTACCTAATGTCGGTTTAGGAGGTTGCCGATCGTCGTCTGTGCTTAAAAAAACGCCCAGGGTTTCTACATGGATCGGGCCCACATGGCAGACTGAATCCCCTTCGTGGTGACGCTTGTTTTAGAATGGGATCGATATGGCGATGCACTGGGCGCAAGCCTGCTGACGGTTGGAATCAGAACGTTCCGCCGGTACAGGCCGAGGTGGAAAAATGTTTCTAATTGCCTATTAAGCGCTGATAAAAAAAATATACAACAAACATTCTAAGATAACCCTAACCAAAAAAGGTTACTTTTAGTCAACGACTTTTCACTAGAAATTGTCCGCTTTTGCCTTAGTAAATTTTATACCTATCGATTTAAACTAATTTGCACAATAAAATAACATACAGTTGATTGATTTTTCGCGCCGAAACAGATCAAAAGTCCAGCCTGCCTTCAGTTTTATCTGATTTTATTCAAAGGACATTTCATTCTTACATCGTAAATGTTTTGGAGTTTTCGAACTAGCTTCTCTTTTTTCTTTTTCTAACGTGGCCCAAGGTTTTTCTCTCGAGTCGTTGTTTACACCTTGAGTGGATAGCACAATGTTGCTGTCTCTTATCTCAACGATAATCTACCTTCCTTAACCAGGGGTTACCTATTTAGAATTCTTTTTCTTTTAAAATTAATTTTATTTACGTACTCTCAACACGACACGCAAGAATGGCACACTTACGCAGAAAACAAACACTTTGAGCCCTGAAGATGATCTCAATAAAGGTCGAAACGTTGGCACGATAAAGAAAATGTTTTTCTGAAACCTACATCACACCAGACCGCATCTCACGATTTCTGAAAAATCAATTTTAATTACTTTATTTTATTTTCTTCTATCTTATTCCAGCCATTTTTATTTTTATTTTATTTTTAAATTTCTACTTTTTTCTTATTTTCTTATTAGTTAATCTCTATTTTTACGTTGGAGCATGGAGGCTGATACACATCTAATGTATAAAGTCCCTGAGCAAAATAATCGTCTATTAAAACCCACAAGAAAATGGTGTAAGAAATGTCTGAGGTAATAACTTCAATTGAAAATGAATTTAAGAAATCATTCTATGCTTGCAGCCCGTTGAACATATGCAAATGCATAAAAGGTTACGCCCCTAATGCAGGTATTAAATTTCTTAGGAATGGTACTATTCTCATAGGTTTTAATGCCGAAAAAGTCTTTATAAATATTCAAAACATGAAGATGTGTGAAAATATTCCACTACTGTTAGAACTTCAACGCTTATTAAATTTCTCCAAGGATGTTGTTAATGTCCTTGAGTTAATAAATTCCTCTGAGAGAGAAATTTAGGCAGAACTACAAGCTCAAAGCGTAGTTAAGGTATTTAGAATAACAAAAAATCAAAATAATATCAGAATTCCCACTCCCATTCTTATTATAAAATTTGAAAACTGGAAGTTCCAGACAAAATCACTTTTGACTTCCTACAATTTAAAGCTGGGCCATATGTTTCAAACCAAATGCAATGTTTCTCCTGTTTTCGTTTTAGGCATACTTAGTAAATATTGTAAAACGAAAAATTGCAGTCAATGTGGAGACTCTAGTCATGATACGAATACCTGCCAAGCAACACCCAAATGCATCAACTGTGTACAGGGGAAGAATGGGAGTGAGAATTCTGATATTATTTTGATTTTTTGTTATTCTAAATACCTTAACTCCTTAACTACGCGTTGAGCTGGTAGTTCTCCCTAAATTTTTCTCTCACAGGAAAACACCAGATATCTAAAACACCCTTAGAAAATAATAGCCAAATCAGCCAGTGTATAATTAAAAAAAGATCGGCTTCACAAATTGTACATCAAACAATTTCCCAAGTCCGCCAACGCCTTCAGGATAACTCCATCAAAAACCTCAAAAACAATGATATACCTAAAAATTGATGGCAAACACAACTCACCGATACTATCATAAACAAGCCTGCATATAGCTAAGAAACACTAATCATATGAATGTTTTACAATGGAATTCGAATGGACTAAGCTGTCATCGAGATAAGATACAACACTTAATATCTAGTCAAAATTTACCTGTTAAACTTTTGGGATTTCTCGGTGATGATGAAGGTGAAGTAAAGACCTTCCGAACGGTCTTCTTGCCTGTGAAGGTGTTTGTATCCTGATCAAAGACGATATGCCTCATCACGAAGTGAGCATAGACATTCACAATTAGTAACCGTTTTAATACCTACACCACCGCAATTTACTGTTGTATCCGTGTACATGTGGAACAAAATAGCACTGAACGACCTTGTTTTTGTTTACAATCGATTACTCCATCCAATTCTACTGCTTGGAGCCTTCGATGCCCATAATCCCATCTGGGGAGAGGGAAAACTGGTCAGTACTGGCAAGACATTCGAACTTTTTACCTATCAAGTCATCCTTTGTATTTTAAACGATGACGATAGCTCGCCGACATACTTCTGTTCTATTTCAATCGAATTGTTTTGGCTGGTGAATTTCCTGACATCTGAAAAACTGCTATAACGTTACTTATCCCAAAAAGTGACAGACCACCCCTAGATGTCAAAAGCTATCGCCCAATATGTCCGACCTCCTCCATGTGTAAGCTAACTGAAAAAAATGATGGTGAATCGGCTGCTCTGGTACATAGAAAAGAATGGATTTCTCCCCCATGGCAAAGTGGATTTAGACGAAACTGGGGTGCAAGCGATAATCTTGTGTTCCTCCTGGATCAACTATTTTCTTTTTTCTACAGTTTCATGTTCAATTTCTTTCAGAGCATTTTTTTAAATAGCGTCTAACTCTTTGCAATTTATCGAGTGTTTTCCTAACAAACTTTTCTTAGGAGATTCAGATACTACGCTGTCGCTGCAAGTATTTACTCATAAAAGGTATGCTTTTTAGGGGACGTGTACTTCATATTTTCCTGGCCCAAGCTACTTTCTGCACGAAGGTAAAGCATTATTTTTTAATAAATGGATTAAAGAGTAAATATAACGCAAATGATATTCAGAGATGATTTTATTGCCGTCCTGTGATGATAGATAATGCTTTTATATTGTTATTTATTTGTCAGCTCGAATTTTTAGACTCAACTATAGCTTATTTATACTAGCACACGCCAACAACGAGCTAAAATAAATAATAAATTTCGTGGGAATAAGATACAGGTTGAAAATTTTCACCAGAGGTGCAGGAAAGATGGAAAAAATCCCCCTTTGAAACAAACACGAGTGATTTGTCTTTTATTTAAAATCTGTATGGGAAAAAGAAGACATAAATCTTTCCAAGTTACACAAACTATTGGTGGCCGGGGACGAGAAAACTCCCACTCGCCGGTGTTTGTTTGGCCTGGAATGTTTCTAAGATGGCGTTCGGTGGACATGTGGGACGACTGCTCGGCTCATAGATATAAAGTAGATAACCTTTTATCAAAATAAAACGCCAATTTTTTATGGCGTTTTTGTGTCAATAGGGCTTGAAGAATTTGTCTAGCATAATCAAACAGAACCACCAAAACAAATATATTTCGTGAATTATCCATAATTTGATATCATACCTTATAAAAATCCCCTTATATCCAAGGATCTAATCAGTAGATAGATAAATTAACTATGTTTTTTATTTATTGTAAACTTTCCTTCTTCATTCAATCATCTTGGTTACTTGTACACTGATTGTAATTATTAAAAGCATTAATTACAACCCCTAAATTGTAATTTGTTCTGTCAAGAACCGTTTTTATTTTTTCCTGTAGAAATATACTTTTAAAACTTCAATATGATTGAACTATATAACTATGAAATATATATTTTTTAAATTTCTGCTGTAGAACTCAGCTTGTTTTATGTTATAACATTAACTTTCTTGTAGAAATGTGTGGTGATTAGTGACCGTTAGTCTATAATTATTCAGAAATCGTGAGATGCGGTCTGGTGTGTCGTAGGTTTCCGAAAAACATTTTCTTTATTGTGCCACCGTTTCGATCATTATTGAGATCATCTTTAGGGCCTGGGATTTACAAACATTGTTTAAATTTAACAAAAACATGGAGGATGTGGAAAAAAGAGAATTTATACAATGCAAAATATATTTTTTGTATTCAATCAAAGTATTTCTACTCACTCAAAGAGTTTAAATAAGTACCTATAAATTCTGGTACATCGAAACGTGAGGTTATTTTTCCATCTAGTTCGTAACCAGACTTGGAAATTAAACCGCATCCTTTAGATATCCTTACTATCATGAAATCCTTTGTTCCAGATGAACTATCCAATACGTCAAAGCGATTGTTGCAAGCAGCATCCTTGGTGAAAAATCATTATTTAATACGTGATAATGATAAAACAGCGCTAGGGAACACAGGTTTTAAATTTTCCAAGCACTACAGCAATCTGCCATATTGTACTTTTCCTAATTCTTTAGTTCAGTTCAATTGCTCGAACGCACTACTACGCATTTACTGTTATAATTGCAATTCTTTTTGCTGGTTCTGAATGTTATCCAAGGTTTCCTAGTCTAGTTGAGCGGTTGCTTTCATTGTATCTGTTGCGAAGAAAATATGGGTGGCAGTTTCTTCTTTCTCATTCCATAACCTATAAATGGGGTCATCATCAGGTAATTTTAAAAACCCTAAATTTCTAGGAATAGAGTTAAAATTAGTGGATTCAATCAAATTCCTTGGTGTGACGCTTGACAGGAAACTTGATTGGAAAGGTCATATTAATAATATATACAGGAAAGGCACAATATCTATGGTACAATGTAGGAGAATTGACGGTAAAACGGGGTCTCAAACCATGGGTAGCCAAATGGCTATATACTACAATTATTCTACCTAGATTATTTATCGCAGCTTTAGTATGGTGGAAAGATCTAGAAAATAAAGGGAATAGTAAGAAATTAAGGTAATTTCAAAGACTAGGCTGTTTGATGATGGCAGGAGCATTTTCAACCACACCCACCGTAGCACTTGAGATCATACACGTAGAGGCTAAGGTCAGAGCACTAATCAGCTGCTACTGAGTAAGGTTAACGGCCAATTATTAAGCGTTAGCCATAAAAAGGTTAAAATCCATT